CAGAGAGGCCTTCGGAGCCAGATCCCCTGACGTACGGCCACCTGACGTTGGGCCACTGACGCGTGGGTCCGGGTCCACACGTCAGCGAGTGCGCCGTACGTCAGAGGAGCTGCGTCCGGGGCCTTCCTACAGGGCTTGAGCTGGATTCCATGGAAGGTGTGGTGCAAGGTGCAGGTGGAGATCGGCGGGTGGTGCAGTTCTTGCACGGCCGGTGCCCGGTAACGTTTAAATAGTGGGCGGACGCGAGGGGCCTACTAGCGTGGTGTTTAATGCCGGTCGACACATGGACAGACGTGTGGTGCCAGAGTAGGTTTCTCGGCACATGCGCCGGTTCGAATGATGTAGACGGGCAGATGAATACCATTTACATGCGAAGAGAAGGTGTATACAGAGGCGTGCAGATCACAGATTTGCCCCTCGCGAAAGCATTGATTTGCATTTATGAGAAGCACAACTATCCTATGAAAAAGAAGAAAAAAGTTATGCTTACAAATTTGCTTCTCCTGGAAGTATAACTTTTCTTCAGCGAGTCTCTGGCAAAAAAATGTGCTTTCACGAGAAGCACCAATTTTCTTCTCGTGGAAATACAACTTTGCTTCCGTGATGTCCTTCTCTGAAGAAAAGGAAAAAGCACAGCATGTGCTCCTAAACAAAAGTGAAGAACCCAGCTATGATTTCGAGATCTGATATTTTTTGGGGTTTTAATTTTATTGCGCAAACCCTTTTTCGGTTTTTATTTTGTTCTATTCTTTTTTGTGCTTTTATTTTGTTTTTCGGTTTTTTATAGAGAAAGGTTTCTTGGACCTATTAACATGTGATCTAGTATCGGAGATCTCGATTGGAGAAATCTAACAGTGAAGATGCTCCCGGAATTGTACGCATTGTTCAAGAGATCAATAATTTTGGATAAATGAATCTAGAAAAGAAACACCAAGGTTGCCATAAATGACGCATGCAGTGCACCACTTGTCTTCTCCTGAGAAGGTAGGGTAACCTTTACAAGGCCCTTTACTGAAAATTGCTTTCGCCCGCTTTATACATATATAAAGCAACAACCAACATCCGAGCCGATACAAACCACATCAACACACACTACAGGCCAGATACATAGGTGCCAAGGACCTATGACAACAACACACCGAACAACTCAGAGTAGACTAAAGAATGATCATAAGCAACACTACGGAGCCGCTGGAGCCCTTCCTGGTGAGGACATCGCGAAGAGGTGAAGTTCAGATTCGATGAACTGTGAGCTCCAGACGATGCCTTTAGGAACGACACAGCACCAAAGAGCCGCCATCGCCAAATCCAATGATCTAGATTTTCATCCAGGGCATGACGAAGAGAAAGGAGCAACCACAACGGATACTTCAAGAAGATGGCGATGCCCACGGGCACCGCCTTCCTCGGCCTGGCCAAAGTCAGGCAAGTTTTTCACCCCAGCAATCATACTCCGCCTTCACTCAAGGTGTGCCCGCGCACAAGACCCAAACGACACACCACCACAGAACATCAACCCGCCAGCCACCACACCTCCCACACGGCCATGGTTGCCAGCCTCCCGCACCTGAGTTGCGAGCTCAGTCAACGAGCACCTCAACTCCCACCACCCAAACCACCGCCCAAGAAACAAGACGCCCCATAGATCCTTCAGGCTGTGAGCAGTGAACCGTCCGGCTTGCAACGACCACCGACAGAGCCGCGGCGACTGGAACGACCAGATCGATCGGGGAGGCACCATGTCGTAGAAGAGGTGAAGCGGGAGCGGACCACGTCAACGCTCGGCACCCCTGCCGGCGACGGGTGGCACAACTGCATCGGAGCCACCTGTCACACTCACCACCTCTTCCAAACACCACCCTGACGCCCAACCTCTGCTCCTGGCCCGGATCTGCATCTGGCGAGGACCGGCCACCTGCCCAGCGACGCGGAGATCGCCGGAACGGCATAGCTGAAGCCGAAGACAACCAACTAGGGAATCCACACAGGCCACCTGCGAATGAAGGGACACCGGACCTGACTCCAGCCGTCGCCGCAACACCGGCCAGACCAAGCACCGTGATGCCACCACGTTGTAGCCCACGCCCATCGCAACGACCACGATAGGCCACTGCCTCCACTTCGCGTAGCTTGCCCACACCAGCTGGAAGGATCGAGCCGCAGCAGGCACCGCGCACAACCTGCATCCTCTACCTGCAGCCACCGCCGCCGGCCCACATCGTCTACTGCCGCCAACCGCCAGATCTGCGGCCGCCACAACCGTTGGCACACCCCACCACTTCGCAGCCAGCCACGCCGCCCAAAGCCCGGGGCGTCACCGCCGGAGAGCTTCTGCTGCGCCTCCACGCCCTACAGCCGTGCGGAGTACCGACACAGCGACGCCGGCCCGCACCGGTGCCCAGAGGCGGATTTGGGCCTGGGGCAACTGGGGCTGTAGCCAGAGGCGTGGCCCAACTAGCACCTATACGTGTAATAGCAAAAATTCCAGAATTTGAGATACAAAGAGGCCCAGCCCCAGGCTTTAGCCCATAGACGTAAAAGGCTACAACTATGCCAGCCCATTAGCCCAACTATAAGCCCTCCACGACTGTGCAGTTCCAATCGATCCGAACTGAAAACGAATCCTGCAGTTGACCGCTCGATCGTCTCTCGCCTGATCGATCATAAATAAATCTCTAGCCCGATTCAAAGTGGAGAAACCCTCGCCTCGCCCAGACACTGCGCCGCCGCCCTAGTCAACCTGCGCCGCATCCCGTCCGGCATCCTGACCATCCACCTTTTGTTCTTCCCGTTCTTCTCCAACTCCAAGTCAAAAACTCCCGCGAAATTGCAGTGCACGCACACCTGGCTCCGCATGTAATTTGTTGTTTGTATCACGTAAATTCGGTCCATTTCGGTGAGTTGGTGATTTTAAATTCACTCCTTTTACTTAGTCAATTTTATTTCCTTAAGAACATGAGATGAATCGATGAATTACTATTTGGTGTGCTATATTGAGCTTGATGTATCTGCAAGCATTGATGATTTTAGATCGTACAGTGCAATAAAAAAAATGAGGAAAGCAAGGGGCTATTGCCTCATGCACTTTGTGAGAATGATATATTATGTTTTTTTTGTGCAATAATTTCATATGAACAAATGACTTGGTGTATATCTAGTGTCTTGATTTTAAATACTTGATTTTATGTTTATAACTCAAGGTCCTTCTACTATTGCGGGCAAAGAAATGATGGCCTCAAATTGAGGAAGTCTTCGTTAATTTGATATGAACGCTTGCCTCATACACTTTGTTAAAACTATCTTTTTTATTGAGTTTCCTCTCATGGTAACAATGAATTCATATTTCATTTTAAATATGAACTCGTAGCATACTTCTGACATGCTTTGGTATGTGTAGTATTTGACATTTTTTTAGCAACTTAACTATAGCCCTAGGCTTTGGGAAATCCTGGCTCCGCCTCTGCCGGTGCCCCTGCGCGAGGAGACGAGAAGTCCTGCAGCGGCCAACGCCAGCTGGGCTTCTCCTAGCCGCGTCCCCTGGCGGCGGCAAGGAGGAGGAGGGCCGGGAAGGGAGCTGCGGGCGGCGGGGCTAGGTATCCTCCCCGTCACGCACGGGCGTGACGAGGGAGGGAGAGGATAAGGTCCTACAAGGTTTCTCATTCAGCTTTGCAGCCAATCCACCAGCCCCCTCTCCTCCTACACACACAGGCTAGGCATCCTAGGTGACACATAAAAAAAAAGAACCAACGGCATAATTGTATGATTAGGAAGATGATGATACCTCGACCGCAAGGATCAAACAATCCTATTTCTAATGCTTTGATGTCTCATTAATACAAATTATATTTTTATGTAACGTGACGTTCCTATCAACAACGAGATGTGCGTAGTGACTTCATAAATTTTGAAATCCTGCAACCCCCTAGCCGTTCTACACTAGGCCTTGTATGAGCGTGCTAGTGCTTGCATCTACGTTGTAATTGGAGTTTCTAAAAAAGTCACATATGAAATCTAGACAGTACAATCCCGCAAAAAAAATATATAGACAGTACAAGAAAACATATTGTATGTATTGGACAAATCCCATAAATTGTTTGGTTCTTACATTGCACACATGAGCTGCAAACATGTAGAACACACAAGGTAGTATTTCTGTCTTCTAGTACCCACAAAAGGAAAACAATTGTATATGCTATAAAATCTAGCCAGTGCTCTTGTGGCTTAAAAAATCTATTTGTGTACGATTCTCCCTCTTTTTACAACAGAAGTTGCCTGAAAATATTTGTGTAAAAAAGTTTTCATAATGTAAAATAGGTGCACAAAACATAACTTATAAATTTTAAAACCAAATATGTCCAGGAAATATTATTTTTTTGGAGAAAAGTATTGCTTTGCACCTCTGTATAAATATAGATTTAGAGATTAGAAGATGTTAGGTGTTAAGGTTGACAAGCTTGCCGTACAAAAACAACTGACGGTGTACCCAAGTACTTGGACTATTTAGCTTCAGAAAAAGAAAAAAGTAACACGGACTATCCACG